CTGACTAAATGAATATTTTGCACCGTGTAGTTGTACAGATATTAAACTGGTGGGACACCAGAGTCAACAACAGAGCTGTGTTCTCACAGTCTCACACAGAGACAAACACTGAGCTCAGCGATGTTTTGCATCAGACACAAAAACAGACTTGAAACAACTCTAAATAGTTTTCAAACAACCAGAGCTGCTGTTATATGGGTTAAACCTCAGTAATTCCATTTATAACCAGAAAGTCACACTAGCGCTGCCTTCAGTACAACATGTAGTCATTTCACATTCACTTTTTTATTCTGGATTCATAGCACTGAACTAAATCAGTTGTGATCTACAGTGTTGCCAGAGTTACCAGAGTTATATTTACATGTGCATACAGGTTTATGGCTCCGACATTCTCCTAAAGAGTAGGTGTTAATATTCAGAGCAAAGCTCTATTATGGCTACGTTTACATTTGACCCCATTGTTTCAGCACTAACATTAGCCCACTGAAAATATCCTAACATTAGCAGAGCCACTTTAATGATGCAATGATGTTATCATCAGTTTTAAAAGGTAAATAAGACTGGACTGCTTTAAGGATTTCTGTGAGAGACGATAAGGGTTTTGTACATGAGACACAGTGATCTGAAAGGTGCCTTCATGAGGGTTATGTTGCCAGTATTTTAAAAGAAAGATGAATATGACATGAGCTTGTTTACAGCTTGACTGCAGAACTTGCCTCTAAGGGGGTTTCCATTTCTCCTTAGCGCCATGCACCACCTAGTGACATCTTTGAGTAATGCCAAAGGAATCAGTAAATAAAGACAGAAAAAAGATATGATAAAAATATTATTTGACTCATGAATTGAATTTTGAATCCCCACTTATGTTATTTATCAGTTACAATGATCTTTGAGCCTCAGTCTGTCTCTCTCTCTCTCTCTCTCTGTTTCAATCAATAGCATCATTCTAGCTTTGGATTATCAACATGGGGAAGGTCATAGGACGAGTCACTTTATTATCATGCCTAAAGCTGAATATTTATATTTCTAAAAGAAAGTCAAATATCAAGTATATAAGCTTGAAACAAACAAGAAAAACACATTAACCACTGCATCTGACTTATTTCAGTGGACCAGCTTCACACACCCATTACAGTATAAGCACATATTTTCAACATGTAGGTCATAACAGTGTTCAAATACCTTCAGAAAATCACAAAATACTCGACATGACTTCATCTTCTGGGCCTTGTGTTCAGCATCATAAACAACAATCAAAGACAACAGTGCTTAAACTGAAGGTCCTGGCAGTCCTAAATATTCTGTTCTCTTTATTTCTTCCTCATTTGAGCCCCTCTTTTTT